AGTTCACTTGTCTAGAAACCACGTATAAATTCAACCGTACCATTTTACGGGTAAACAATTTATTTTTTTTAACAGGATCTCTATTAAATTCTTTTAAAAATGGATGACAAAAGATGGTTATTTTTTTTTTTTTTTTTATAACATATAAGAACTTTTTGTTTTAAATTTGAATTTGCCTTTTGATTATTTCACAACTATTTATTTTGATCTACATTGTCATGAATACATCACCATTTGTTATTAAAAATTCATCACACTTAATGTTAAGGTTAGTGGTCATAATATGTATGCAGTTTATTAACCTTTGTTAAGCATTATCATGTGATTTGCCTGTTTATTACCTCACTAGTAAGTCTAGTAGTCAGTCACACAGTTATTCTTGTCTTAAGAGTGATCAATTGACACTCTTTTGCCTAAAAGGAGAGAGCGTTTAACTCGTCGTAAAGCATGTTCTTGAGAAGCTTTAGATTGATTGAATTAAATAATATTATTGAATTGATGTAATTTTACAGAGAACAAGACAAATATAATTATGAGATTTGTAAATTTTTTCACTCTAATCGTCTGCGAGGTATTTGTGTCTCAATATGCAAGAAACTTTTTTATAATTGTAATTTTACTTTCGCCGATGGATTGGTTTGAGGATTGAGATAATGAATAATATTGAATATTGAATACATAAGATGAGATACGGATCACAAAGAATAAGTTACTATGGTTAATTATCAATTAAAATAAAAGTAGGTATATAATTAACAATAATTTAATGATAATATAATAAACTCATGTTGACTTATAGTCGACACAACTCGACTTAATTCAACTCACTGAATGCAAATATTCGAACTGCAGTAGTACATCAAATCGTATAATTCGGGATTTGGATTAGATCTACCCGACCCGAAAGAAACCCACACCAAAACTTTACCCCTTTCACACGAAAACCACTGCCGCCTAGACCATAGTATTCTGTATTTCAGCCATATAGGGTTTATTAGTAACTTGTTTGAGAGAAGAGAAATTTGCAAGTGAATAGCTATTAAAAGTTAATTGAGAGAAAATGCCAACTCTGACGAAGCTATTCACAATGGAAGAAGCCTCTCAGCACAACACTAAGGATGATTGCTGGGTCGTCATTGACGGCAAGGTGTTTTTCTTTTTTATTTTCTGGGTTTTATCTGTTCTTTTTCTTTTTATGGAGGATAATTGTGCTTGTGGTCCTCAATTGTTAGATTGACTGACCAATATTGAAAATTGTCAATGTTTTTGTTTTTGATGGGGTTTTGGAATATATTCTTATTGTAAATGTGATTGATTATGTATTCTCTTAGGTAGAGGCGGATCCAGGATTTATACTTATGAGTTTCAACATCGAGCTCAAGTTAATATATACCATAATAACTTAGTTCACAGTTAGATATAGATTTCTTAATACATATGTTGGGTCTCGGCAAAAGCTGTTGATTTTACATGAATTCATAGCTTGCAAGCTAGGTCCGCCTCTGCGTGACGGACCCAAGATATAGAGTGGTTTCGCAATGGGGGTGCGATTGTCTATTTATAATTTTGTTTAGTTTTTCGTCACACACATTAATTACTAGGATTAATGGTTCTTTTTTAATTCCATTGGTGCTAGTTTTAAGTTTTATGTTCATAATAATTATCTAACTCAATTGCCATGTTGAAGTTTTCTTAGGTTTATGAATGTTATGATATATATCTGCTTAGTGTCGAGTTAGACTGGCCCTTGACCATTGAATATGTAGTGTGTATATGATTGGAATAGTCTTAAATTCCCTTTATTGGCTATGTAATAATGGAATTAACAGAAAGAAATATAGTGGATGTATCCTTATGGCTGCGTCTAGTTTTTCGCTAATTTTTAGTGTTGAAGGATTCACAGGAAAAGTGGCCATGTGCATATCGCAACCTTTAACACGGGTGCATTAAGCAAATGAAGGATTTATTAACATAGCAATCTTGCTACTTCTGTATTAAATATAATGACTATGGTGGGAGGTAGCAGGTACCTCATATAATTAGTCGAGGTGCGAGCAAGCTGGCACGGACACCCCGGTTATAAGAAAAGGTATAATGACTGTGGAAGAGTGGCAACCTGTTTGAGGGTAGTGGCCCTAGTGAACTGAGAGAAAGTTATGGGTATCTGGTTCTCTATTGGAGGGCGAGTTCTTAATGAGGAAAAGAAAGGTAGAAAGGTAATTTTGCTGGATTTAGAAGATAATCACTGGATGTAATTGTTATAAGGGTGATTAACGAAGTAATGAAGATTGGTAGTGATTAACAAAGTAATGAAGATTCCCTCAGCTTCAAATATGCCACCAGGATGAGTCAACTGAAGATTGTGAAACACATACAAACTGTAGATAAGACCAAGAAGACTGATAACCATCACATGTCCTGATTCAAATGCTCCCTAACCTTGTGAGTAATGCAGCGGGGCCTTATAAGTTTATCTTTAGAGCAAGTTAATAATTTGCAGCTGTAAATGGCATCCACTACCTTTCTCCTTTGTGGTATTTGGGAAGGTGGGAGGGTTGGGGCGGGCTGTAAACGTTTGCATGGATTTATATCTATGATTTGACAATTTGCTTCTTCCTGAAAACTAAATAAAATGCTTTTTTGTGAATAAGGTGGTGTTTGGCTCCCTTAGTTTCCAGTTTTGTTCATGCAAAGTCTATAATGCTGTGCAAAATTTATGCAAGCTTACCTTGGACAGTGTTCAGAGGAATTGTAATAATGGTTATTGATCCATGCTTTTCCTCATTATTTTTATCTGCTTGTTTCCATATTATGCTGATGAATTTCATATAAGTCGTGTCCTATGATTTGGACATACTATATTGACTACTATAATTTAAGGCCTCACACTTGTTTTCCTCATATATTTTGACATTGCAACCTGTACGATGTTACAATTGAGTTCAACTGATATTACCTCTTGCGGTTTGTTGAGCTGATTTATTTTTATCCAAGCTCTAATTATTGTGAAATTTAGAGGATTTACCTATCGCACATAGGCTATTCATATTCTTTAGTACACCCACATTCTTGTGTTAGACATCAAAGTAATTTTCACTAAAAGTTAAACCCATATTTAACTTCTTGTGGTAAAAATAAACCTGAATATAGTACTACTTAATATGCAACTTGCCAGTCTTGAACCTCTGAGAATGAAACTGGTTTTGGTTTGATATCTAGTCTAGACATTAGCCAGGAGGATAGACTTAAAATCAGATGGTAGATGTTACAGCAACACTAAGTGAGACTGATGATCTCCAGTAGTCTTTGCAAAAATTTGTTTGCAAATCAATAATTTATATAGAAGGTAAAACTATTGATGCAATTGAACGTTGTCTTCTTTGGCCAAACTTTTTGTTTGCTCAGGCAAGGGCCATACTCGAAAACCATATGCTGAGATATTTGTACCACCTGCTGAGAGCTGGCATGAAATTACGTTTCTAATTAGAAGAAAGTCATTGTATTGGCTATTTGGATTAGCAACTTATTGTCTGCAATGTTCTGATTGTCGTTTTGCTTCATCAGCAAAATGTCGTAGTGTTTGGGCTGATCTTATATTACTGGAATGTTTTACTAAAGATTTTTAGTATGCCTGATTCTCCATTTTGCTAACTTCAATGCTTTGCCTGGTGCATGAGCAGGTATATGATGTTTCATCTTATCTGGACGAACATCCAGGGGGAGATGATGTTGTACTTTCTGCTACAGGTATCGTTTCATTCGTATTCTTCGCTTTCAAATTACTATGATCAAAGTAGAAGTAAATGCAATTACCTTTGAGCATGTCATTAGAAAAATCACAAGATGTAATAATCTAACTTGTGATGCATTTTTTTGTAGGAAAAGATGCCACTGATGAATTTGAAGATGCTGGACATAGCAAAGATGCGAGGGAACTGATGGAGAAATTCTTCATTGGGGAGCTTGATTCGACATCCCCTCCCATCCCAGAACTTGAGATTGTCAAGAAGGCCGCCAAAAATATCCCTCAGAAGGTTAAGGAAATTACTAAGCAATATTGGTTCGTTCCTGTAGCAGTTGTTGGCATCTCTGTGGTGGTGGGCTTCTTATACACACGCAAGAAGTAAAATCAGTTTGATATTCCCTCTCGGATGTTAGTACTGTTGTGAAACATAGACTGAAAAAAGTATTCATCATATCTTTAGAGGTCTAAGAATTTTGGGACATAATTGCTGAATGCACATTTTTGTTACTGAATGAGATGGCGGGAAATTGACATTCTGTTCCAGAGCAAGTGATGTCAAATAGCCATTTTAATACACAGTGGCTGTCATCATATTGATAAGAGTTGACATTTACTATCCGTATAACCCGTCTGAGGATACAGAATAAAGTGCATCCACCAAGGGCATTTTATCTTTTTCTTTCACTGAGTTTCTTTTATTTTAATTTCTTTTTGGTTTTGTCCCGATCAGCTTGTGTTCTCGAGTTTTATGACATCGAGAAAGCCTTTTAGATGCAAATAAGTATATGTCAATCTGAGAGAAGCGTCGTGACACCTCAAACTTGAATTTGTTTTTTCATATTTGACGTTAGAAAAAAAACAAGTCATTCATTACCTTTTTTAGAGAACTTGAAACAACCTCTTGCTGCAGGGTAAGGTTGTGTACAATAGACCCTTGTGGTCGGTCCTTCTCTGGACCCCGCGCATAGCGGGAGCTTAGTGCACCGGGCTGCCCCTTTTTAGGGAACTTCAGTTATTGTTCCAACGAGGTGTGCAAAAATCTTTAGAGAACTTCAGTTATTGTTCCAAAGAGGTGCAAAAATCTTAACAGATAATGTAGACAGGAGAAAGCAGTTTAGAGAGATGAGTTTCTTTGTTTAGCATCATAATTTATTGCTTGATTGAAACTGGTAAAAGGGAGAATCAAAAATACATAAAAGTAAAAACGAATCTCATCTACGTTTTACAAACTTGGGAAATGAAAGGAAGCAAATGAATCAAGGAACTAGTTATCTTGCAAGTAAAATGTTTACTCACAAAACTTTGCTCTTTCTGGTTATATCATTTCAGCTTTGAGTTCTTTTGCAAAAACACAAATCTCAGACTGATATATGTTTTACAATGAGAAAAGAATGAGGCAAAAACAAAACATAGCTCGTGTTAACTGTTTTATCTAAGCATACAGTTTCCTTTCCAATAACGCATCACACAGCCTAAGGGCGTCTGCATTATATCGAACATTATGTACTCTTACAATATTGGCACCATTCAGAACCCCTGTAGTTACAGCAGCAACAGTTGCTGGATCTCGTTCTTCTGCAGCAGGGCGAGCACAGACTTCCCCTAGGAATCTCTTTCTAGACGGTCCAATCAAGAAAGGTGCACGAGACAACGCCAAGCTCCTCCTTGCAATCTCACTTCGAATTGTTGTCAAACCCGTTAGAATATCCAAATTATGTTCAGTATTTTTGGAGAATCCGATTCCTGGGTCAAGTATTAGCCTCCAAGCAGGAATACCGGCTAACTCTGCTTCCTCGAGCCTCTCATAAAGTTCAAACGCCACATCCTTACAAACATCGTTGTACTGCAAGTTCTCGGGATTTTGCATTGAAGACGGATCACCTCTCATATGCATTGCTATAAAGGGTACTCGAAGAGCTGCAACGACACTGTGCATATTGGAATCCAACCGTCCACCAGATACATCGTTTACAAGATGAACCCCATTCTTGACTGCTTCTGAAGCAACGTCTGAATAGAAGGTATCCACAGATAAAAGCTTCCCCTCAACCTCGGGCATCTTGTTAACGGCCTCTATAACAGGAATTAGTCTATCTAATTCTTCTTCAACAGTTATCTTTAAAGCGTTTGGACGTGTAGATTGTGCACCAAAATCAATTATATCTGCACCCTCTGAGAGCATTAACCGAACTTGGGAAACTGCTGCTTCGACGGATAGATACTTCCCGCCATCACTAAAACTGTCCGGAGTCAAATTCAGAATACCCATAACAGAGGTTTTCGAAGACCAGTCCCATAGATTGTTTCCAACTGGCAATACCCTTTTCATCCCATTTCTCCCTACAAGAGATTCACCTCCTAGTTTCTCCCACAACTCGAAAAGATCACTTGAATGTTTCGAAAACGAATGCCAACTTGCAACTGTATCGCTATCTATGTCTGAACCGAGTAGATCAATCAAAGGTGCGACAACAAATGGTCTCTCCCAGATTCTTTCATGTGGAACATCAAGTATCTCGGAATGAATCTTGAGCTTCCCATAAAACAGAATATCCAAGTCGATAGGTCTAGGACCATATCTTACTCCAGTTGTACGACCCATGTCCTTCTCGATCTTCTTGAGCACTCCCAACAACTCGTGAGGCCCTAGTTTCGTGATACCTCTAACAGCAGAATTTAGAAACCGAGGCTGATCAGTTACATAAGCAGGCGCTGTCTCGTATAAGCAAGCATGCCTGGTAATTTGTATACCTGATTTCTTCATTAGGTGCAATGCTTCATCAAAATTCTGAAGTCTGTTACCCACATTACTTCCCAAAGCAATTATTACTTCCTGCTCCGAGGAATGCACTTCCACCACACAATCCGGGGACGAATGGATACTATAAATGCCCCGTGCTGCAAACAAGATTGTAAAAGAACATCAATCAATCAATCACTAAGCGTCTATGCCTTAATCCTAAAACTAGTTGAGGGTCAGTTATATGAATCCTCTGTATCCATTCTGCGCTATTATGGTCCATTTCATCTCAACCTTTAAAGATTCAAAAAGAACATTTTAGAAGAAAAAAAACGGCCTCTATCTCCATCAACGTTCAATAAAACCCCTCATTAAAATGTTGAGAGAAGAAGCTTAAACCCATCAAAACAGCCCAAGAAAGCTCAAAGATAAACCGTTTTTTTATGAGGGTGGTTTTGGGCCAGCTTGCACGCACCTCGACTATCTCACATGGTAGTTGCTGACTAGCCCAGCTATGGAGCTAGGTCTACACCGCCACATCGAGACTCTCTTTCGAAAGTGAGATACCGGCTTTCATAAGAGGGAAAGATCACTCCGTCATGCAGCAGAGTTGTGTTCATCTAACTAGAAATTTCATAAGAGAAGAAGAATCGTAGCGTAGGCTCGACATAAACAATCGGTTAAAATAGTCTAATGAGAAAGCATCTGTTCACGTCCGTAGTTGCAATAAGTTTTCCTTTTTTAATCTACATAGATATCATATAACTCTACACACCAAGGCTTATTACTATTTAAAAAGATAAATATGACTTTATAATTTATTTGGAAAAACTGTAGTAGAGGAATAGTATTCCATTAATGTCATTAATTGCACTAATACTAATCTAATTAAACATTTCAATCCACATCCCCTCTTCAAGGGTAAATTGAACACATACCAATTACATCAGAACCTTACAAAGATCGTAACTTTATGATAAATAGAGCACAAAAAGATAGGGAAAAACACATAAAGGGGGGTAAAAAGGTCTTACCATTACACGAATTCTTGGATATTTTGAACCCAAATTTTGTGGGCAGTAAGCGTCTGAAGATATTCATATTAACAAATGATACAAAAATTAATGAAGAGAGTGATGTTAATGTCTCAGCAATATTCCAAGATACATAGAATTGCAAGAAATTTCCAGGACTATCATCCTATAAATGAACATGAAATATAGAGTGGAATTGGATCTTGAAAATTAGATTAGATTCCCTGCTTTGTCAGAATATAGTACAGAGGCGTAGGAGAAAACATACCTAGTGGTAATTTCTTAAATTCTGGAGTACACTAGGGTCAATTTAGTCATCAGAAAGTTTGTCTTTAGAACATGGATTTAAAGACAAGATTTTAAGCTACTGCTCACTTTCTTTCAATTTATGTGGATGTTTTTATTTTTTGTTGTCCAAAAGAATGTTAACTTTAAAATTTAATTTTTTACTTTAATAAAATAATTTAAAATAAGTGAAGAAATTATTAATATTTGCATTACGGTAGATTATTTACTTCATATATCTTGGGGGTTCGATTTTTTTCTGGACCCTACATGAATTCGACATGCTTTATGCATCGAATTGCCTTTTGATCAAACTAAATTTTTTATTAGGGAGAGTCAAATACGAAAAAGTAAACACACAAATAAATCAAAGCAATTTAATATATAATGTATATAGTAAAAAAAAAAAGTTATTACCTACCTATACATATAATTTTTGAGTGAACACCTCTTGGATAAGAGTGTTCCACTATTTTTAAAAGTCTTTTGCCTTCGGCATAAATCTGGATAGAATGAGACTAAACACTATGAATAATTTCTTCAGAAAATAATTAAATAAATAATATTAAAAGAAAAAAAAAACAATTCTGTAATTCCCTCAAAAACCCAAATCCCCAAAACCCCTCCTCATCCAGTTCTCTGTACTGCTTCACAGCTACCTTGAACTTGAAGGTCTAAAACCCCAAATCCCCATTGTTGGGTTGTAAAGATTGTAACTTTATGTTCTTCTTGCTATGGCTGCTCTTTCTTTCAGCTTGTTATCTACTCTTCCCAGGTTCTTTTCCATAATTCTTTGGTCTCTTTCTCATATATGTTCCTTTTTTTTTATTTTTCTGTATTGTGTCATCTGCTTTACCCTGTGAAGAACATGATACCAGAAGCATACAATTATCATAAAACTTATAAAGTTGTCACCTTTGCAACTATCTTGTGTGTGGATAACGTTACGTTGTGGTGAAAATTAGAATTAAAGTTGAATTTATGTGTCCCTACTTTCATATACTATTAGTTTCAGGGCAACTTGAATTTCTTCCATTTTCTATATGATTTCATTTTATTATTATCTGTATTTGAGGAGCCGACTCCAACTTGTTTATGACCGAGGCATAGTTGTGGTCGTTGTTTTATATTATTTTGATTAGTGCACAAACATGGGTGAAGCTAGAATATGAGTTATGGTTTCGGCTGAACTCATGAGCTTTGGTCTAAACCCTTTATTTGTCTTAAGAGATCCATTAAATTAGAAATTATTGATTTAAAATCCACTAACTTAAAAGGATTAGAATCCCGAACTCATATGTTTCAAATTCTGACTTCGCCTCACGCCGAGTGCACTTCGTAATAGTGCATTGTTGGAGTTCATCTAGAATAAAATCATTCACTCACCGAAAACCAGAACAAATTCAGTGTCTTTAAAGTTGCAGACTTCTAATTGAAAAATGAATCAGTTTGCGGAGAGGGTGTTTTTCTTGATTGTAATATGAGAATCAAAATAGAGATTCAACGTGTTTACTTTTTCTTTATGCATATTGGATTTTTCTGATCTCAAACATGGAGGAAAATTGAAGGACAATTGCTGCTGAAACTAAAAATATGCTTCAAACAGGAAAAAGAAAACTAAGGTTTTATGTTTCTCTAATATGCAGGCAGCATCTGCATTGGAACTTTTACCCAAATATGAAAGTAATGCAGCTTCAAGATCTTGGACTTAAAAACAAATGGGTTCTTATGGCAGTCTCTAAAGAAGGAACTCCAGAGGCTATAGCCAAGGAGTTATCGAAAACAGAGGTGTTTGGTGCTGGAAAAAAGACTGTCCGGATATCAAAACGAGCTCCAGTTATGGCTAGGAGAAAGAAAGTAGTCGAGACTTCAAATGATGATCCCGTGAACGTTGAGGAAGCCGAAAATACTTCAGGGTCAACTGAGGAACCCAAAAAAACCCAGAGACGAACCCGAAAGAAAAAAGAGATAGTGGAGAGTTCATTTGGTGATTCCATATCTGATGCAGAGGGTAATGTCATTGATGCGGAAGCTGTAACAGAACCAGAATCAAGTGCGAAACCGAAGAAAACCAGACGAACTCGGAAGAAAAAAGAGACAGTGGTGAGCACATTTGAGGATTCCACGTTAGATGTGGAGGGCAATGTCACGGATGAGGAAGTCTTACCAACTTCAGGGTCAAGTGAAGGTTCCGTGGAAATACGAAAACGAACTTCAAAGAAAGGTAAAATCTCTATATCAAAGAATTACAAACTTCCTCATCATTGAGCACTTGTGCTCTCTTTACATTTCCTAAGTTTAGAAGTTTCTCTCTTTATGCATAATTTTGCAGCTGCTTCTAGCTCTAGTAGCCTTGAGAAAGAACCTACTCAGAAGGTCACAAGGCGGAGGAGAAAGAAGGTCAATAATCTAGAGGATGAAGGTAGCCAGACAGAACTTAGTGATATTGAAGAAGAGCTACACGTTGCAAACGCTGATGCCGATAGTGAGGAAGAATTGGACTTTGATGGTGGAGAGGATATTAGCTTCTCGTACGGATGGCCACCTCTTGTGTGTTGCTTTGGTGCTGCACAGCATGCGTTTGTTCCTTCAGGGAGGCCGTCCAATCGGCTTGTAGACCACGAATGGCATGAAAGAATGAAAGATGCAATTTGGGATCCTGAAAAATTTACCAGGGCTCCAGGGGGATGTTCGAGTAATGTTGCCGTGGCTCTTGCGAGCTTGGGTGGTAAAGTTGCCTTCATGGGGAAACTTGGCGATGACGATTTCGGTCAGTCCTTGGTATATTTTATGAATATCAACAAAGTTCAAACGCGATCAGTTCGCCTTGACAGTAAAAAAGCAACTGCCATTACACATATGAAAATAGGTAAGAGAGGGGGCTTGAGGATGACTACCACCAAACCATCTGCTGAGGATTCTCTATTAAAGTCTGAGATCAATATAGATGTCCTTAAGGAGGTGAGAATCTGAAAACAAAATTACATGTTACTTTATTTATTTGAATTCATTTTGTATGTTCTGTTAGTGCTGAAGTTGTTTCCATTCATTCTAATGTGTCACACAGGCAAAAATGTTTTACTTCAATACATTCTCAATGCTTGACCCAAATATGAGATTAACCACATTACGAGCAACAAAGATATCGAAGAAGCTGGGAGGGGTTGTCTTTTATGATGTCAACCTCCCGTTTCCGCTATGGGAATCGGGTGATAAAGCGAAGACATTCATACAGCAAGCGTGGGATCTTGCAGATATTATAGAAGTTACGAAACAGGAGTTAGAGTTTCTCTGTGGAATAAAACCGTCCGAGAGGTTTGACACCAAGGATAATGACAGGTCTAAGTTCACTCACTATCCACCGGAAGTAATTGCTCCACTTTGGCATGAAAATCTAAAGGTTTTGTTCGTGACTAACGGGACTTCTAAGATTCATTACTACACCAAGGAGCATAACAGTGCTGTTCTTGGGCTGGAAGATGTGCCATTGACCCCTTATACTTCTGATATGTCTGCATCTGGAGATGGCATTATTGCAGGTAAAAGAATGACCACCTTCTGTATATTCATAATTCGTTCGTTTAGAAGTTTGCTCATTAGAGACAATAGTCTGCTATGTTATGCATTTATGCCTTTTCACTTATCCCTGCAATATTTATACAAATTGGATATATTTACTTAACTTTGGATCAAGAGATAGCAGTAAGGGAACAATAAATATTGAGTGAAGTCATGTCACATCTGAACGGTGATGTTATCCGTCCAAGTTTTGCAGGCGAACATATATCTTTAGCTGTTCGATCAAATTCTCATTATTAGTACTCGACTGTTACCTAAAAAAAGTATCATTACCTGTTTCAAAAAGAAATGTTTCTTTATAAAATATTTACAACTGAAAAATCCAATTTTCGTGTTTTTGGTGCTCCTCAACTTAATTTCTGTGGCAACTTTTGGTTCAGGTATCATCAGAATGCTGACAGTTCAGCCTCATCTTATGACCGATAAAGGGTACTTGGAACGAACTTTAAAGTATGCTATTAGCTGTGGTGTAGTAGATCAATGGCTACAGGCAAGAAGATTAGGGTATCCTCCCAAAGAAGGTATGGAAGACGATGTGGTCCCAGACGACCATGGCATAAAGTCTGTAACAGAGAGGGAATACAGAATACTCGTGCCTGTAAGTTGATGGTGTATACGCGTGTAGCCAATTATGCTTATGTCAGATGCCCTGTTTCCATCGCAAAGTTGAAAGTCTTGGTGTTGGAAATGATTCTTTCGGGCATCAGTGTGATTGTAGTTGTAAGCCTGTAACTGCTTGTACACGAATTTTTCGAGTTTCAGTACAACATGGTATCAGAGAAATCATACGAGAGGGAAAGACAACATCACCAATTCCATTTTTCCGAGGCTTTCTAGATTGCTCTGCCTTTAATGTAACATTTGTACTATTTTTTTGACATATTGGAGAAATTTAGATTATTTATTAGCAAAAAGCCTTTGCATTGCTGCGTATTTTTTTTTTCCGAGCAGCCCGGTGCATGAAGCATCCCGCGTTCATGCAGGGTCCGGGGAAGAGCTGCACCCAATGGATGTGACGTAGGCAGCTTACCCTGATGCAAGCATCAATGGCTGATTTCATGACTTGAACCCGTTATAAGTCACAGAGACAACTTTACCTTTGCATTGCTGTGTATCATAGGCCAATATCATTTCATCTCCTTTTTGTTATTTCTGATGTACTTGTTAGAGTTTGAACCATTTAGTTCTCTTAAAACTCAGTTTCTATGAAGAAAATGGATTCTCCTCAAAACACAGTTATCCGGTAAAGTTAGACAGATGAAAAGATATCATTTTGTCGTATCAACTTACGTTGGACCTCCACTTATCTACACTAAAATTATTAATGATGAATGTTCTGCCATTAACTTTGTGTATCAAAATTTTATTTTGCGTAACTGATGTGAAAGAGCTGAAGACAAACTAGCTAAGTTTAAAAAGGACATTTTAATTTCTATATAAGGATCCAATTTTATTGCCATCTTCCCCAACAAAAAGATAACCACACTTCTCAAAACCCACCTCAGAAGAGAAGACTGCAGGTGGAAGATACCTAATCCAACAGAAGAAAAAGTTTCCATATTTCTTCTCAAACAGGAAAAGGGTGTCAAAAATTTTGAAAAAAAGGGAAGATCAAAATAGAAGACATAATGAAAGATGAGAATGAACTAAGTTGCATATGTCTTTTGCTACATATACAATCATACACATTTTAAAAGCCTGGCCCTACTACTCTGAAAATTTTGCGCCATCAAGTTTTGAGGCGGCTGCCTTGTCTAGAAACCAAACCAAATTCACTTTACTTGGCTGGACCATTTTTGCAGGCAATGTCGGGCAGTCAGGTCCAACATCATCAATCGCCGAATGCACAGCCTCTGCTTTGCTGCTTCCAGTTGCAACTATAGCTACATTGGATGCAGAGTTGATAACAGGCAAAGTGAAAGTAATCCTCTCTGGAGGAGGCTTGGGGGAGTCGGTGAGAAAAGTTACCCACTCTTCTTTCTCATCAAGAATGGAGTGATTAGGGAAAAGAGACGCGACATGTCCATCCGGTCCCATTCCTAGAAGGATGAGGTCAAACTTGGGGCAGTCACTGATGTCAGAAACACTGATTACACGAGTCCTCACGAGCTGTCTAATAACAAACTCATAGTCTTCGGCAGCTTTCTCTGCTGAGACCGTGTCGTTAATGGAATGTACATGGCTTGGAACAATAGGCACCTGAAAGATAAAAGCACGATGCAGCTGAGAAATGCAAAACTCTGGAAAGTAAGATCAGCGCCAACACATTGATTTGCAGAATACTGTTGAATAAATATGATTTCAAAATACTGACCATGGAGGTAACAGAAAGAAACAAAGACTGTTCATTTCTTTCTCATTAGATATCTTAAACACTTTTCGCGTAAGGTATCAACAAATACAGGAGCTTTAAAAGATATATGTTAAACGTGATAAAACAGTAGTAAGCTTTCAAGCTGAAATAATTTTCCACAACAAGCAGGTTACATCAAAGTTCAAAATTGTTAGACACGACAGCATGACAGATCTACTGGACATCGCTAAGCTCGAAGAGTCAAGACACATGAGACACCAAGGCCACCATGTTTCCAGTGTAAGTCTGCGTTCGCAACTCTAGCAAAGACAACTATAGAAGTTACCAAATATCATTATGTCAATCTTTATGCCGGAAACAATCAGCATTGGTTAAACCCAGCATCTGCAGAGAGATTTTGCTTGTAATGCAGAGAAGTTTTTCTTGAAATTTCTTATCAATCAAGAAAAAAAATATATAAAAAGTAAAGTAACAAAAAACCCTCCTTCTCCGTTAGCACTGAACATCACTCGTTTTGGCATCACCAATCCGTAAATTGATCTCTTCACGCCAGCAGTCAGGTGGATGGTCTTAATATGACCTCAAGTTAGTATTTCAACAACCTCGGGATCCCTGAGAGCTCATAGTGTGCGACTACAATTGAACATTTTCAAGAAGATTCTCTTGTATGACTTTACAGATCACTATGTTCACATACAATACTCATCCATCTATTAGCACTACCTCAATTCAGCTCTATACGCATCCTCAGTTGGCATTGGCATTCAGTTCAAAGGAAATAGCTACAGATTTCAAACATAAGGCACTTAGATCCATAGACGTCACCACCTCTAAGCATCGACACATTAAATATACCATATATACCTGGTTCACTACAATAGTTCAAAGTAAATTAACTAGAGAGTAACAGATGATAGGTAGAATACCTCAGTGGCGTACGCAAGATTTTTCATAAGCAGTGTCACAATTTGAAGAAATGAACAAATAAATATCTTATTTTAGTTGTAAGCGGTGTCGTTTTCTATATTTATCTTCAATATTTTTCTCTCTCTTATACATAACTAGTAAAAAATTTCGACGAAGCGGTATCCTGTGACACCGCATAGGACAAGGTGTATACGCCCCTGGAATACCTAGAGACATCAAAGATCTGGATTCAAAATATTTTGAACTCTACATCATCTTGTCTCAAGGAAAAAAAATGAAAAAAGAACCATATTCATGGGAATTTACTATACATGGCTATCTACCACATCCAACCCCCAACGATCAGATACTGCAGCTTAGAGAATCCTGGTTCATTTTCTTTCTGCCAGACCTCCTAGCCACCCCCACTATGCATACTATGCAAAATTGCAAGGTCAAGACAATGTTGGACATCAAGGAAAAGCACTGATCAAAGAAATATGTTACAGCACACCTTAATCTCTGGCTGCAGCTATAATACCAACAATACCCATGCTTGTCTGTAGCATGATTGCTTGTAAATGTTCCGAACAGACCCTCAAAAATGGTCGCTCCCCCTCTCACCCTCCCNAACATGACGGTTAGCAGTAATTACAACAGCCTGGAGCTTCCCTTGCATATTTGAGATGCACCGTATCTGTGTTATAGAGCTGAAAGATTACTGTATATTTATGATGAACTGAATCAACCCAAAAGAGAACTACTTCATTTGATGTCTGTCTTAAAGATTTCTTGATAAAGGTATATGTAATCATGGATCGCAATGCAAAATAGAGAGAGCCATTGTTACAGCTAAGGTTCGTACGAACAATCCCACTAACAGTAGATCAAAACAGTACGCAAAATGATCAAGTAAAATTTTGAGCTTTCTACCTTTGACAAAAGTCCATCTTTGGCTAGCTTGTAATTACTATCAGCATGATTTTTTGCAACCACACGCTCGTCCACCCAAAATATATACCACTTTGCCCAATCAACAGTTTTGCTATAAGGAGCTTCACATAGTTTTCTGCTTCCCCCAGAGTTTTGAAAAGCCAATTCAATACCTTATATATAAAGGGAAACAAAAAAAAAATTGAAAAAGTAAAATACAACACACTTACATACCCCATCAAGCTGATGAGGGAACCACCTGATAAAGCAACAGCAAATACACCTCTCTCCTTCACAGAAGCCTCTGATAATTCTGCAATATAATCTGCTAAATCTGTGCTGAGTTCATCCAAATATTCATAAATCCTCACCTCTTTTACATCTTTATTAGCCATCCTTCTTTAGAAAGTGCTAGATAACACTGCCGCTACTGCACAAAATAATAACATAGCAAAGCAACAAGTCAACTACAATTAGGACCATATTCTGTTTGATTCAGCTGAAATTATTATTATTATTATTATTATTATTATTATTATTTGGAAAAAAGGTCTAACAACTCCATAATGATCATTTAGCATGAAACAAAACACAGATTCTCCAATTACACAATCTGAAGAAAAGTTAAGGGGCAAAACTATGACTTCCTTTTGGTTAAACACCAAAGCAAAACAAGAAACTAGTAGACAACTATACTACATGTATTCACTCAACATTAACAACAACAACAAAAAAAAAACCAGTATACTCCCACAAGTGGGGTTTGAGGAGGCTAGAGCGTAAGCAGACCTCACCCCTATCAGAAATTAGAGGGCTATTTTCGATATGATCCTCGGCCCAAGGAAAGATGAAGAGAAAGCAGTAACAACAACAAACTCACTCAACATTACATAATAAAAAAAATATGATCTTTGACATTGGC